ATTGTATAAATATATAGTTTCAAGAATCTTAATAAAGTACTAGCATAACTGCTTAAGGTTAAAAAAAAAAAAAAAAATATATAAAAATTAAGTAAATAAGAACTTTTTTAAAAAAAGTACTATTAATTAGATTGTCAAAAGTCAAATTTAAGAAAAATAATATTGGTTTAAACTTAATATACTAAAAACTAATTATAGATTTATCAGATTATTTAAAAAGAGAATTTAAAGACAAAGCAAATATATATTAAAATATTAAAGATATATTATGAAGTTAGTACTAATATTTGAGTAAACTTTGCAAAGACATAATTCTGTTAATGGTTTATATAATGAATAGATTAATTAACAGAAAGGTATCTAAAGTCTTATAATTAGATAACATGTTATAAAATAAGTAATAACTTAATAGATGTACAAAAGAAAGGCTAAATATTGAATTAGATAATATTTAAATAAACAGAAACTAAATATTATTTATTTAATACAATATAAAGACTAAAAAGTTTAAATAAATAATCTTCTAGTAGATTACAGATATGAAACTAGTATAAAACTTGCAAACAGACTACTTAAATAGATAATTAAAAGTTGCATATATGGTTAGTTGTATACTTATTTTTATATAAGTTATATATAATATAAAGATTGTACTTAAATAAATATTTTTATTATATAACTATAATAAATTACTTAAATAATCAGATAATTTAATAATATTCAGTTAGAGATTTTTTTGCAGAAACAATATTTAATGTAATGTATAATTAAAATTACAATAAAGATGATAATTACTGTAAACATCAACTTTAGCAAAAGAAAAAAATATATAAAAATTTGTTAATATCATTTCCTTTATATAAAATATTTAATTTATAATTTTTTTAATACTAATTATTAATTAAAATTAGATTATGTAAAAGGTAAAATTAGCAAAATAAGAGATAGCATTAACAGTTTCACAGTTTCTAATATTATATTGAACTTTGTAATAAAATCTTTATATTTGATAATAGTTTTATTAGTTTATAAAGTATTTTTTATCTTAAACTATTTATTTTATTTGTGAAAATTTGAAAACTTCATATTAAATTATAAAAAATTTTATTAATTTAATTTTAAAACCAAAATAAACCAATTTTTTCAATTTTAAAACTAACTATAATCCAATAATTTAAAACCAAACCATATTAATATTTAAAAAATTTATCAATAAATATAAAAAATTTTTTAATAAAATTTATAAACCTATTTTTCTAAATAAGATCACACAAATATAATATCTTGGTTTTCATAACATGAAACTTTAAACTGACCCGACCGGCCAGCTGTTTTTTTAAACTTTATATATATAAATTTTATATAAAAATTTAATATAAAAATGCTTTTAAAAACCCACCCGATTATTAAAACGGTTATATCACAAAATCCCGACAGACAGATTCTCGAAAGGACATAATAACGACAAAGTTGGCTAGCATTAGTTATAATACTGACCGATTTAGTCGGTATTATGAAAATAACTTACGGAATTTGTAGAACAAAAATTTAAACACTACTACTACAAATTTGTCTATAAAACGAAACGATTTGAGATAATTTTAGCTAATATTTAAAAGACGTTTTTTTTAAATATTAAAACAAATAAAACAAATATTGATATTAACATTAAAATTTGAATGCTTGAGCTGACACTTTAAGGGACAGAATTAATCCTTTAAACATGCAACTCCTTTAAATGCATTTTGAAAGGTTTGATTGTATGATTACATATCTATGAATAATTTGCTACTTTTATTTACCTCAATAATTGACTATCGCATATATTGACATTCGAGACTCTAAAAATATAATTCAAGTTCGACTGAGGGATCTTCAAATCAATGAATAGATTCTTTATATTTTCCTGTAAACAATCTAGTGCTAGAAGTATCGATATATTTTTTAATTAATAAATTACATAATTCATAATTATAATAATAGGTAATGCAGGAATATATTAAAATTTTTCTTTGTACATATAGTAGAATAAAGAAAAAGTAGTTGCACTAGCAAATTTTAAAGATATGATTGGAAGAAAAAAAGGCACCGTAAGATCAGGCCAATTCATATCACCATTTATTTCATCAATTCCTAATTAGAGATAGGAAGGTAAGGACATAGGAGAACTGATTTCTATTTTCTTAGCAGCTTGGAGAAATGATTTCCATCTTCACCCAGATTTGAACAAGAGTACAGCGATTTGACCGACATAGAAATAGATGAAATGTTTGGTTTCTTTCGTCATATAATATTATTGAATTGTAAATTAAGAAAAAAAGATTAATAATTGGATCACGTTGTTCTACGTGTTTTCAGAATCAATTCCAACAGATTTACATAATAGACATTTTTTTGATTCTAATTACAAATAAATTATTGCATAAGATTTTATAATAATTGTAACTAATCGACGAACGAAATACAAATGAAAAAACGATTTCCTTCAATGCTTTGATTTAACACAAATAGTTTTGCTGTCATATGATTGACATACCATGAGTCACATAGCTTCCAAAATTCCTTCCGACAATACAGTGCCAGGTTGTGCCATACTTTTTGTCGAACTCACGCTTAATATAAGCTGCAATATCCTTTTCAAGATTATATTTCTCCAAGGCTACGTTGGCGCATTGCAGAGCTTCTTGCTGCATATCATCGTTCATGTCAACATTCTTGACGACAACTTTGCTGTCAGCCATTATTCCGAACTGTTCTCTTTGTCAAACTGAGTGTATATGCTCAAATAAACCGTCAAGAATAAGTAATATCTTGCTTTTTTTTTTTTTTTTACAAATCTGTATTGGTAAATAGTTGAACAGAAATTTTCATATGTACGAATTTTATTTATAGCAATTAAAGAATTAAATTGATTTTATTTGTTAATGACACAGATCGTTACACTATTAACTTGTATTAACTTGTATTAACTTGTAATCAGATGGATGTTAACGTTAAATAGCACCATTGTCGATCTTCGATTTTGGGTATGTTGATATAACATGATTAAAAATTTTCTTGCTACGTATATTGCCAACTTTCTAAATCCATGTCATAATGCCACCTTAGTACGTATGATAAAACTCTCCGATTAAATCATAAATTTGATTAATTAGTTACTATATTTATAAGAAAAAATGTGCTTGTCATCGGCAATGACAGTTTTCTGTGTACAATCCAAACAAATATAAATACGCATAAATTATAGTCGAAGTTAGAATTAATTAAAGGGCATAGTATATATTAAACTTCCACGAGGAGTTTTTTATTATTATGTAGAACACACAAAAGGTGATTAACAGGAATAATTTTAACAAAGGTTTTGCTTCATTTTTACGATCAAATGTAATGTTACACTTAGTTTTGCATCCTCATTGGTACGAGACCGTAGGTGACAAATAGATTTACTCTACGTGATATCGATATTTTTCTGTATATAGAAATTTTTTAATAAATAAAAAATAAACGTACAGTATTGGTATACATAAAATATCATCAATATATACGTATAATATTTATATGCAGTATATTGTTATAACATAAATTACTTTCCTACATTACTTTCCTACAGTTAATCTATACGTACGTACGTACGTACGTACGTATTGCAGCAGCTATATACTATATATAGCATTTAACGTTAAATTTAACCACAGAATTAATGAATACGTATTATTTACTAAGTAGTAGATTCATATCAAGACCCAAATTGGATTAATTCTGTAATTTCAAAATGTTATTAAAGAACTTGTTATCCGAATAATCCCGAATCTTACTAATTATTCGGATAAAATTTTTTGATTTTAGATAACTAAATCGAATTATCCGGTTAGCGTTAGTAATGAGTCATCATTGGCTAATTGATTTTTAATTTATCATTATCGTTATGTTTTGTAATTCCGGTTTATCTGAATATCTGTCAGGGTTAGTTAAGAGCGGATGGATAAACATTTATCTGAACGGATAACGATAACGAATACCACCTCTAGATTTGATTCGACTTGTTAATTCGGTCTAATTTAGGATAGGAATTAGGGTTATTATCGTTATGGTTTTGGATGGTCTGTGGGGTTTACGCAAATTGTTATACATATATATTTTAAATAGTGATGATTAATTATATCAAAATTGTAATCGATATTTTATTTTGGCACATACAAAAAGTAAAAAAAAAAAAAAAAAAACTATTTATTAAAAAAGATTCAACCAATGTTATTTATTAATTTACTATTTCGTCAAAAAACCCTATTACGTACGTAGAAATTAATTTATGTATGTGTATGGTGCTCATTTAGCCGACATCACATAGAGTTAGTCGTGTCCCTAAAATTTTAACAGGACAACGTCCGTGTACAACACTGGGTTAGGGTTAACATTTGATTGGTTAGTTGCAGTATATACTTTATTAGATTGTCGCTTGGCGTGATATCGGCTAAGTGAATTAAGTAAAGCAGATCCCTATGTAAATCATTTGATAGAAGACCTAACGCTAATGCTGATAGATGTAGTGCCATCTGACGTTGATTTGTGTATTAACCTTAGCATTGATTTAACGTCATTTATATTATTGTAGACTTAGCGTGACGCAAGGAAAAAAATATAACACTGTACAGTAAATCGCATATTAAATAACAACAATTTTCAATCGTAATAAACGGAAAAATTATATGCTTTATAAACTTTATTATATAAATCTAATATACGTATATACTAATTTTGTACCACCCAACCAAAATATCCAAATAAATAGATTTAAAATTGAATTGACTATATATATAACAAAATATGTATTTAAATCTAAAAAAAAAACTTTATATCTTATCAGTTATATCACATCTAGTTATCACATATGAAAAGATTAAGAACTATACACAAGATTTCGATGTTATATTCAATACCAAATCATTTTCAAAATCAATAAAATAACTAATGTTTCAACTAATGAATAAATCAAACATTTTAAAATCGATTATTCTATATCATCAGTCAAAAATAAAATAAATAAGAAAAAAAAAACAAAGACAATTTTAGGTTATTATATAGAGCGCATAATTTCATCGTAGATGTATTCTATTTTTAAACGATTAAAGGTTAAATTAAAGACATGCCACAAAATCACTGAAACCAAAAAAATAAAAATAAATAAAAGTATCATACGTTTTAATTGTTCCTTTGACAATTGCTCTTTGTGTTTATCAAAATCAAAGAAGGATTCTGGGATTGGATTGGCAGCTGGCTCATCATCAGGATCATGGTACTTTAAATAATTAAAAATATTAGTACGGTTTACATTGAAATTATAAAGAATTAAATATTACTCACAGGTTCCAAATAAGGATGCTTTAAAGCTTCTTCAACGGTAATTCTCTTTGAAGGATTAAAAGCCAACAACTTTTCCAACATATCAAGTGCTAATGGGTTTGCATTAGGAAACATATGAGAAATCGGAATTCGTTTCTTAAAGGGAAGTGATCGGATATAATCACGAGCCTGTAAAATGGTATAACAATGGTGAGTTTTATGTAATTTAAACATAGAGATACGCCTCAGTGATAAGGTACATTACCCTTCTACTTTTAATTCCATAAAAGTCTTCCATTGTTGGTGTACCAAGAACATCAAGAATTAGAGTGAGTTGATGATGATCTATTATAGAAAATGAATTAATTTGTGCAACCAAAATAAATTTGTCCATTGTTAATTATAATTTAAAGAATTAATTATCGTTCTTACAATCTCTTCCCGGAAATAATGGTTTTCCATTCAACATTTCAGCCAAGATACAACCAACTGACCATACATCAATGGCTTTTGTATATTCTTTGAATGTAAGCATAATTTCAGGGGCTCGATACCATCTGGTTGCAACGTATTCAGTCATAAAACCACTGTGTTCATCACTTGAGTTGGCATTTCTTGCAAGACCAAAATCGCAAACCTATTTGAAATTAATTCATTAAGTATCAATGATAAAATTAATTAATAATTATTTATAATTATTTATAATTATTTACCTTCAAATCGCAATTTGCATTAAGCAATAAATTACTTGGTTTAAGATCACGATGAAGAACGTTTGCAGAATGCATTGCTTTCAAGGCACGCAAAGTTTGGTAAATAAAATATTGACAATGATCATCACTCAAATCTTGAGTGCGAATAACACGATGCATATCGGTTTCCATTAATTCTTGAATGAGATAACTAGTATTTATAAAATAATGTTTTGTGAATGTCCATAAAGTTAAATTTTCATGATTTTTTTAAACTTTTTTTTTTTAACTTACACTTCGGTAAATTTTTCCAAACTCTCTGGTTTTACAATGTCTAGAATGGCGATAATCTAATGGATCGTATTTTAGCCTCGTTATTTATTGATTGAGATAAAATAATAAAAAGCATGAATTGGATACAAACATTTTCGTGGTTAAAATAACGTAATAGCTTAATTTCTCTAAGTGTACGTAGACAAAACATGGAATGGTCAAATGGCGTTATTTTTTTGATTGCTACTTTTTGTCCAGTTGGTTTGTGAATGGCAGAACTAAAATTTTTAAACCAAAAACGTTCATAAATTTATGCTGCCTTAATGTTTTTTTAAAGTGCTCTTTTCCAGAATCTACTAAACCTACCAAACAATCCCGTATGCTCCCTCTCCAACTACGTCTAAAACTTCATAATTTTCTCCAACATTGAATGTTGGCTTACGTTGAGAATTTCTACTGCTCATCCTGTTAAATGTAATATTGGTAATGAATAAGTTGACTCAGACGAAAGGATAATAGTGATAACAGTGGCTTATATTAATATGCAGAGAATTTGGGTTTTTATACTTTATCCGGTAAATTAAGATTGTCGTTGTAACTATTATGTCCTTGTATATATTAATTTTATCACGCATTATCATATCAAAATTATTGAATTAAATTCGTACAAAGGAATAAAAAAATATTTATTAAAAAGGATAACAAAGAATGTTTATGTACGTTAATAAGACCTTTGTTTTACTGAAAAAATAACATTAATTTGCTACAAATGGTTTTAAAAAAATTTATCCATGCATTTGATCAAGTTGCACTTTTTATTAATCGAATGTAGTTTTCCTAGAAATATTATATTTACGTATTATTATAGAATAATAATAATAGCAATCTTTATAGTATATAATCGGTTAATCGGCATATATTGTCTAATAACGTAATAAACAGTGTTAAAAAAAATTTAGATCAAAAAATTTGGTCTCGCATGAACATAAATATTGTGTTATAACTATACTAACCAAAGTATAAAAATCGTTATTGTACTGACTGGATTACTAACCATTTAGAATTACCAATAAATTATTAGTTATTGCATGCTTTGTATGCAATACCTATATATATGATATAAGGTAATAAAAAAAATTTAGATTTTATCAAAAAAACAATTTTTCTTTTTGACGTTCCTACTTTTATATACTTTATTAAAGCTTAAAACTTGTTACATAATGCTTCTAAGCATCTATTGGATCTTAATTACTTGGTATATAAAGATTAAATTTGATAAATAAGTAAAGATTATTGCAATTATATATATATATAAATATATTTATAATTATTAGAATTTTTTTTTTGGTATTAAAATGAGGCCTGGCCTATATTTTTATTGCAATTTTTTATATAAATATATTTATAATTATTAGAAAAAAAATTTTTTTTGGTATTAAGATGAGGCCTGTCTATATTTTTATCAGTAATTTAAAATATATAGTTGCATATATATATATGCATTATAGCTTTTAGAACTAATTATTAAACTACTAATTATACAGTTACTACTATTTGCACAAAACAAATAAATCAAAAATTATATGCAAAATAAAAGTTTAGATTAATTTATTTATATATAATCTAAATTTACTAAAATAGCAAAGTTTATTTAGATTTAAATGTTTAGTATATAGTTTATTAATATTTATATATATTTAATCTATAAAATAAATCAAATATTAATTTTATAAATTACTTGAAAGATATGACAACCTAGTGAAGTAGTCAAGTTGTTAACCTTCCAAGTAGTAGATTAAATGTTTAAATTTTATCAACAATGAAAATTTGGATAATTACCTATGTAATATTTATATTGTTATAAGTAAAAACCTTCTTAATTTTTATACTATAATAATAACACAACACAGAGAATTCCTTACAGATATATGCAGTATTCAAGAAAAAAGTATAGCTTCTGTTAGACATTATTAAGAAACTATATCCTTTTCTGAGACAGTTCAGAAAAGATAATGCAATACTAATAACTTAAATTTATTTTACTAAAAGGAAATAAACTTTGCCTATAGAAATTATTCTAAAAGAAGAGTATCAATATAGTTTATAGTCAAAAGTTGTTTATTAAAGTAATAACAAAAAGGGTTATCCTTAAGTTTCTGTTTCTAAAAAATCTCAAAATATGTTTATAATATAAAAAAAGAGAAAAGTGTCTATTGTTTAAATGCACTTAGAGAATTTAGCAGGGTTTATTTATCTGTAAGCTAAGTGACTAAGCAATCAAGTAACTAAGTGATTAATAACTAAGTAATTAAGTAATTAAGTAACCAAGTAATTAAGTGATTAAGTAACTAAGTGATTAAGTAATTAAGTAACTAAGTAACTAAGTAATTACTAAGTAACCAAAAGGTTCTAGCAACTAATGACTAATAATTACTAAGTGACTAATTACTAAGTGATTAAGCAACTAGACAACTAAGCAACTAGGTGATTAAGTGACTAAGTGATTACTAATCGACCAGAAAGTTTTAGCAACTACTAGTAATAATAATAATACAATAATAATAAAATAACTAATAATAATAATAATAATAATAATAATAATAATAAATAATAAAATAATAATTCATTCTATAATATTTTTGTCTTTTTTAAAAATTTACTCTGTAAATTCTATATTCTAATTAATTCAAAAAGTTGAATATACTCATCATCTAGCAGTTTGATAATATGTATTGCAGTCATATATTTCAACTGTTGGGTTATTTTTCTTAGTTATAATTCAAGAACTTCATATATTCTGAAAGCATCTTTTCAAGTATTCTTTGCTTTTTTTATTATTTGAGCATCTTAGATAAGGTTTTTAATCTTTAAAGAATTGTTAGACTTTGAGATTATTTGTTCTAAGTAGTAGTAAGCTTCAATTTTTTTGTTGAGATTATGTTAAGTATGTCCAAAAATAGATAAAAACTTTAAGATTCAATTAACTTGTTCTTTTTATATTTTTTCAAAAAAAGAGTTGGTTATACTTCAAGTTGTTGGCACTGGTATCTGTTTCAAATTATTTATTATTTGAGTTAGATGATTAGTATTATTACTTTCTAACTCAGTAATTACTTCATTAAGTGAAGTTTTAATTAGAAAGGGTTATATTTCTTCTAATTGTAGAAATTTATTAATATTAAATTTTACAGAAACTTCAGTTACAGAGTTTAAGTTAATAACTTTTTCTGGTTCTTTATTACTCTAAAGAATAATATTTTAAAGTAATATATCTAAGTGATTTTAAGATATAGAGTCTTGTTTTCAAATTTGAAAAAAATTGTTTAAAGCAATTACTATTTTTGGTTGTAGTTTTAAGAATTTTATTTTTAG